AAACCTTTCAATACAATAACATGCGATCCATATGAAATCTCCAAACAAAGAGTGTAAAATTCTTGCATTCCAAAGAGTATTCTTGTCATGACGGCTTGATATTTAGATTGCAGAAATTCAAGATCCGCAGCATAGCTCACCGATTTTTTATGGTTCGAAGGAAGCCATGGCATTGCAAGAAAAAAGAGTAATAAATTCCGGGTATTACACAAATCTGTACAGTACGGTTAGCAATGTATGTATTGTACAGCAGTGATGTGCACTTGGAAGATTTTTGGAAGGTATTCATTTGGGTTGGAAGCTTCCAATCAAATTTTATACTATTGGAAGCATAAGTATACATGTATGGTTTTTTCATTACAAGTAGTCCATACTTGTATGGTTTCTAATACTGTATAATACTGTACATATATGAAAAAAACAATACCATGCATACATTGCTAACCGTACTGTACAGGTTTGCAATATACCCATAAATTCCAAATGATACAAATATTATCATCTTTCTTTTGATTCTTTTTGAACACTTTTTATTCTTTGGATACACCAAATTTAACTTTCAATAAACGACTCTTATTTTCTTTTTAATTTTACTGCGCCATCCACGGAAATTCTTTTGCGCAAAATAACGCAATATTAACAAATTTATAGAACCATTTGTCAAAATTGGGAGGAGGCGTTAATGATCAACAATATTAAACAACGACAATATTTATTTTTCTCTTTTTTTTTTTTTTGATACACAAGGGATCAACAAAAAAATCTAATGTTTACAAAAGGAAAAACTTTTTTTAAAACTTTGTGAATAGTCAAGTCCAAATAAGATTTATCTTTTTTTATTTCGATTACCAACAGTTTTTTATAGTTTTCAATAATATTCAGGTTAACTAGTTTAAATCAGAGTAATTCATTAATAATTATTAATCAGAAATGTTTATTAAGCACAATTGTCCTATAAAAAATTTGTATACAGAAAAAAATGGTTAATTTTATACAGTATACCGTAACCGATGTTCATCGACATAAAAGTTTATTTATTTATGCAATAAATTACACCAAAAAGGAAAAAAAAAATTGAATAAAGAAAATTTTTTCTTTGTATGATTTCTTACCATAACAACAATAAAGATATCGGAAAAAGTTCAAGGAAAACTTTTTGCGAAATCGGAAACTGATTGATCGGAGAATTGTTAATTCAAATTGGACATCTC